TCTCTCTCTCTTTTGTTCAATAAGAAAAAATCCTCCTTCATTTTATTTTTGTTTTGATTTTGAACTACGAGCACGAGAACAGAGCATACGGGTACGACGACTGTGAATAGGATTCGATTATCGCACTAATATTTTCATTTATAAATATAAATATATATATAGATGTGTGTGTGTGTGTGTGTGTCAATGTTAAAATATGTTTGTTGTACTCGTGTATGTCCTATGTTTATGTATACATCATTTGATTTTCATTCAAGTGTCTCTGTATGTGTATGTGTGTGTATTCGCGCATGCGCTCGTGTATTTATGTTTGTTTATTTATCATAATTATTATACGTAAAATATAAAAATGAAATATATATATAATTCCGAGTAGAATCGTAAAAGATTCACTGATTTTTCTTTTCTCAAAATATATATTTTTTTTTTCTATCTCTGTCTTTCTTTCTCTTCAGCAAATTATTTGAACAGCCCTCCCTGCCTTATTATTCCAAGGACGTCAATTATTTCTCTCTCTCTCTTTCTCTTTCTCGTACGTTGAAATTGTGTTGAAATCAACACCGATCGTTTCCACCTTTTTCAATTTTGGTTTTTCGTTTCTGAAACTTAATGAAAATGAGAGTAACATACTTAAGGCAGGGTTCTCGTTCTTTTCGTCGACAAAATTCACACATGATTAATAGTAATTAAATAAATAAAGAAACATATTGAAAAATGAATAATGTGAGAAGAAAAATAAATGAAATTTTAGTATCAACAGATGTAACACATCAAGGAAGACAATTTTATACCTAAAAATATCATGAAAAGTATGCTGTTAAGGTGGTACTAACGTTGGTATCGCAAACAAATGTAAAAATGTTGGACGTCAAAGTAGAAAAGAAATATTTAAAATAGAAATTTCATTCATACTGTATAAGATAAAAAGCTCTTTTTTGGTTCTCTTGTAGTCCATAAAGAAAAAAAAAAAAGAAAAAAAATATTTAATCCTTTCGTTACAAGTTAACTTTGTTTGTTTGTTTGTAATTCGATGATTCTTTGATTTAATAATTGCAATTGAAAGTTTGCCAAAGATATGGGCTGGATCATTTGATATTTGCAAAATGTCGTAACGAAAGGATTAAGCATCAAATGTATTATCGATGAATAAATAAATGAATGAATGAATGAATGAATTCCTTGAAATTGAAAGGATTTTCCTCTTGGAGAATTTACTTTCCAATCGTGTCGCCATTGGCGTTCCTCGTGCCGTTGGATTGACGATCGTTTAAATGACCTCTGGCTTGCCGGCTAGTAGGCTGGCCCCTGGGCTAGATGAGTGCGAGCTTTGGGGGACAGCAACCACCCGTGAAATGCCCACTGGCTGCCTCGCGTTCCCGTTTGCGGCGGCCCTGGCGTTCTGCAGTCTAATTTGTAAGGAAACATTTTTCTCTACATATAATCAATCCAAATTACAATCAGACACCGCTTTTTATCGGGATTAGTGATACACAACACCGAACGATCAAGCAATCCCACGAAACTCGTCAACGACAACGTTAACAGGCGCAGATCTAGCTGTCCTTCGATCCATCACGCTGATTTCTTTCTTTCTTTTTTTTTTTTTATTCATTTAATAAGTGAAACTTAAAGAACAAAAGAAATTAAAAAAAATCGCTCAATCAAATAGGAAAAATAAGAAAAATATTTCATCTATTTCCAGCGCGAAGATCGAAAAACTTCTTTCGTCTACGATGGAAGCTTCGAAATCAACACGACATCATATACATATATATAAAGAAAGATAAAGATTACTTGAATACGAACGCCGCTAATACGAGTAACACGAATGCATCGTTACTTTCTATATGTATATATGTATATGTAACACTGACAATGAAAAACTGCAGTAACTGCGACGGACATCGGTTAGAAGTTCGTGTCGTGTAACAAGGAATACTGATCGTCGTGGTTGAAGCGATATTCAGCAGGTATCGTTCGACGTGTATTTCTTTTTCTTTTTTTAATTTTTTTTTTTTTTTTTTCTTTTTTTATTGAGCAGTGTTCGCCGAAACGATCGCCCTACTTATTTGGTTTTGTTTTTTTTCTTTTTTGTTGTTGTTGTTACTTACCGGTCGTGAATCGTCCCACGACAAGCTGCATTAGTACACACAGAGAAGAGGGAGACTTTAGAACTTAATTTGTCTTTCGTACGGTAAGCCTTTTTGTGTGCTAACAAGAACTCTACGTAACTAATGTGCGTGCTACATCGTTGCAACAGGAAATGCACGGGGGATAGAAATCTAAGTCTGGTGTACTAACTTGATTTTAGACTGGCGCATAAATTGTTGGATCTTTCGGGCGGCTTGATGAGCCGCTTGCTGATGTACCGCCTGTTGCCTCGAACAAGTTGATCCTGGACGAGACCGATAGTTCCGATAATTGCTTTGAATTACCAGGGCTGCCTTTGTAGCTTGCCTTTAAACGTGAAATACAATCAAAGTAGTTTCAACATTTATATTCTCTGGCAAATTTGCAAGAACAATCGTAGTCGTGGAAGGAAACGGAAATGGATGGATGGAAAGAAAAAAAAAAAAAAAGAAATAAACTTGGCTTACGATCGAATGAGATTTGTATTAACTTGGAAAAAGGTTCAGTTAATTTTGTATTCGCACCGTCGCGGTTCGTTGTAAATGTAGAGGGAGTCAAGCGAGGGTTGGCAAGGCGCTGACGAAAGAGGGAAGAAAATAAAGAAAGAGTTGTTGAATTATTTACGACGCCAATTAAAAGTTTGCCCCGTGCGGCACGTACCTCGAACTCGAGCGTTATCGGGCTGGTTGACCTGAATCACGTTAAATTAATGTGCGGCGAACGTGCATGTCCGTATCTCTCGATAATTACTCATCGCTCGTTAAAATTAGTCGGCTGATCTCGCGAGATTCGAAGGAACGAACAGGACAAAAAGAAAAAGCAAATAGGAAAAAGGAAAAAGAAAAAGAACAAGAAAATCGTGAATGGTTGGTGATTACCTGTAATAAGCGCACTCCTTGTGCCGACGATAATACTGTTGTATGAGAACTGCTGCGTGTCTTTCGGCTTCTTCTTGCCTCTGACGACCCTTGTAACTCCGATAGGCCTTTTGGATCATTCTTGCGGCATGATATAGTTCCCTCTGTTCTCGATCGGACAAGGTCAACCTACTCAAGTCAGCTTCGTTCCCATCGGTATTCCCACCACCATTTCCATCATTTCCAGTGGCAAATTTTCGCTCGTTACAGCTCGGATAATATTGACCGGCACCGTTCTGATTGTTACCACCGTCTAGTTGCAGCTGCAATTGCAAAAATTCGCAAAAGTCTGCCGTTGTCGGTGGTGGCGAAGGCGAGTCCGGTGTCAGGCAACTGCTGGAAGGACTCGATGGACTCGCTTCGGCGTCGGCATCCGAGACGGAGGCCGCGCCTCCGCTGCATTCACGGTACGAGTCGAACAATTCGCCGGAATCGAGAGGCTAGAAACAAAGTTCCAGTCGCCAAGTGCGTTTTACGTGAGTTACGTGAGCCAACGTTTAACCAATTTAACATCGATTGCATTCACACGCGTTTCATTTCAACAAATATCTACGTAGAGTAATTATGAGTGTGTGTGAGTGTGAGTGTGTGCATCTATAATGTGTAAGTTTTCTAAATATACGTATATATGAATAAATATATGAATAAAAAGCAGTGTAATTCACCATTTGCTCCATCAAAGCATCTTCTAACGGCGACAACGGTGGTGGCGGTGGCGGAGGGGACGAGGAAGAAGACGGAGAATCACCTTCCGCTCTCTTGATCCTTTCCGGTAGCGCGGCTATTATTTGTTCGGCCAACGTCAGCACCCTCGCGTCTTCTTCCCCTATAAAAAGGAATCACCACCCTAGCGAAGATTGTAAAGTCTTATCCCGAACCGCCGAAACCACACCGATCACAACACCGAACTTTTAAAAGCCGTTAACGTACGATGAGCCACATCTCATGTCAATAAAACGTTTAACACCAAGACTCGCCGTTATTTGTATTACACCGGTTAAACGGCTGCGATTATACAGACCGACATCTTGAAGAGAGAGGACACACCGGTGTTGACAATTCCCTCAGTTCCTTCATAGACAGATATATCACTCTCGTTAGAGCGACGTTTATCCGATGACTTTACTCCGAGACTTCTCTATTATTAGCCACCTTTTTCTCATACTTTCGTTCAATAGACAATATTCTTTTTGTCCTTATTAGTTATTATTATTATTATTATTATTTCTATTATTACTATTATGAGTATTATGATCATTAATATTAATAATTATACGGTTGAAATAAAAGTTTCGTATAGGCGATACCTATACCCTATTCACACGAGGTACGACCCGACGCTCGTCCCGTACAAATGAGAGATCATCATCATCATCGTCATCGTCGTCGTCGTCGCCGTCGCCGTAGTCGTCTTAGAGAAAAAATCATCGGCAGGGGCCGAGAAGGTGTTAGTAGGCGGCTAAGAAAGTTAGACTTTTATACAGCAATCATATCCAACACCAGCATTTACGAAGGCCAAGCAACACCAATACTGCTCAAGCTGCAAGAGTTTCAGAGGAGTTTGAGGATAAGTGAGCCTCGACCGCCTGGTCGTCGTTTAGTACGTAATACAGAGACAGAGAAAGAGATCGTGTTTCAAAAGTAAGGGGTTCGCTGTATTAGCTAGGATATATCTACGGATTCAAAGGCCACGCAATACTGTCATTGTCGGAATGGTAGTAAGATCTATCGGCGTGTGTCAGAAAAACAGATTTACGGATAATTACAGATAGATAGATACAGGCAGACAGACAGACAGACAAACAGAAGGGGAAACGAGGAGGGTACGGACCTACGGTCTCTTGAGGGGTCGGAGCGCTCTCCATTCCCTGATCGCCGAGGCCTAACGACGACTCATCCTCTTGCAACAATTCCATGTTGTCCAGGAGCGGGGAACCACCTGTGTTTTTGCGATAAACCCCTTAATACTACTCGTTTGCCTCTAATGATATTACACTCGCACAACTTATGGCCTTTTATACTCTCTAGGACTGACTTACTGTTCGGACGGGGTTAGTAGGGGAGGCTGGAGGTGAGGGTTTTTGTTTTTTTTTTTGTCTCAAAGGGAAGGCAAATAAAAGGAGTAATTTGATTTGATTTGATTTGATTTACGTGTGGATATTAAGTGTGTATGCGCGTGTGCACGGAGAAAGGGCAGTATAATAGCAAACAAGACTAACACAACGCCAGATCGAGACCGCTGTCTTGAGAAGGCCTCCTAGGGCTAGGGCTGGCTGGTCGCAAGAAAAGCCTCTCGTCTTGCCTTCTGGCTTCGAGCCGATTCAGTTCTTCGGCGATTGCCGTGTGTCCGTTCTCCGCGGCTAGCTCCGTTGCGCTTCTATTTTGACGATCCCTCACGCGCAACGCCATCGCATTCCATCTGCAAAATTGAACGACGAAACGAACGTTTCATCTTTCATTCAGCCACCTTTTTATTCATGACGACATCGTTCGACCAATGGTCGATGCCAACCTATAAAGGATTCTAGCTGTATCAGCGTGACCAGCGGCACAAGCCCAGGCGAGCGGTGTCAATCCAGCACTGTCTTGTCTAAGAGCATCCACTTCAGCGTCCAATACGTTACTCGGATTTTCGGCCCTCCAATGTAGCAACGCGCAAGCTAATCTAGAATATCCCAATCCTGCTGCCAAATGTAACAGGGTCGGTCCACCTGATTGAAGAGCTTCGGCACCGACTCTCCACGGACGAACGACAGCATCCTAAAGGATAATCCCACCATTAGTGTCTCCACTATTGAAATTCTATAAGAATAGTACCCCCTCTGGCCACCATTAAACGTACCTGGCAATAAGCCACCAATCGTTCTTCCAGGTGAGCCGCTGGGGACGGCGGACCTGGTCCTTGCAATCGAGATTCCACATCCGCCAATCGATCCAACAATGCTCTTTCTGGATTCGGCTCGGTTGTAGGTGCTCTTCGATATTCGAAAGCAACGCTGTCCGATACGACAAATCCATCGCATGCTACCTGAAGAGACGCGATACCTGGAGCATGGGCAGGACATTGGCAACGCAATACACCGGGTTGAACCAAGCAAGCCTTCACTGGTTCCGCGTCGAAAAGTACCGAATAATTTTGCGAACCATTCCCACCTGTCCATGGACCCGCAACCAAAACCTACGAGTATTTGAAAAATCAATATAAATACATACGACATAGAAATCTTGTTGAATATTTCATATGCGTACTTTGACTCCACCCTCGGTATAACTCCACTCGGGACTATATTCTGCAATCTGGACGGTTGTCCCAGGCTGACATCCAACATCATTTTCATGTCCACCTCTGATATCTGGCTTCGTATCTTCTGCCTCGAAATCGTGTAATTCAGGTAGATCCCCAAACACATCGAAGGCATCCAAGTTGATAAGAACATCGTCGGAAGAATCGATAAAGTCCATCGGATTTATCATGCTATCGTCTGCGGGTGAGGGTGACGGGGAGGGCGGAACCATGTTTGCGGATAACGTTCTCTGAATATCTTCTTGACTCAAGTCTAACATCTTAGCAAAATCTGTAACCTCGGAAGCTGAACTGGTGATAGGCAAGGATTGAACCGTCGTTCGATCCATGCTATCCTGTGCATCGATCTCTTGCTGTGTTTGTTGTTCTCTATCGACACTGGTTTGCTGTACGATTTGTTGCTCCGTCACTTGTTGCATTTCTACTTGCTGACTCTGCTGTTGCTGTTGCTGCTGTTGTTGTTGTTGTTGCTGCTGCTGCTGTTGTTGTTGTTGCTGTTGTTGCTGCTGTTGTTGCTGCTGTTGTTGTTGCTGCTGTTGTTGTTGCTGTTGTTGTTGCTGCTGTTGCTGTTGTTGTTGTTGTTGTTGCTGCTGTTGTTGCTGCTGTTGTTGATGATGATATGGTTGACTGTTAAGTATCAGAAGACCACCTCCACCTTGAATTTGTTGCAAACTTAAAACTAAAGGAGCCGGCTGCTGGCTCTGAGTCGAATGGGAATGTCTAGAATATACACGTGGAGCCGGCGAAGCTGTTGTCGAGGGCTGCTGACCGCCGGTCGTTGATGAAACCTGTTTGGTATAGTATCGACTTAACTATTTATGCGATACTAAAAATATCTAAATAATTTCAACTATTTTCTACTTCTAACCTGATTATCTGGTGTTAATCTTCTGGGTGCAATTGGTGTGTTACTGCTAGAAGTGGACGATGCCCTCTGTCTATCTAGCAATTGCGAAACGATCATGTCAACCGGATGTGTGGAGTGTTGTGTTAAATGAGGATTATTCGGATCATCGTCTCCACCGAGGAACATGGGCCTTAATTGAGATGCTAATTCGTCCCGCGTCCATTCCTTCTTGTCTGGTGGTAATGCAAGACACGTTGGCAATGCCGCTAACTTCGCGTCACCATCCGGATATGGAACGTTCAAGTAATGAACGAGGACAACGTCTGGATTCTGAAGGAGCCAATAGCATCTCCTATGAAACGTTGGTAGGATCGCCGAATGCACGTAACAGCCATAGATACATTCGACGCCCTGAACCTAAGATTTCACATTGACAAAATTACCTTTTTTATTAATCATACGTGTAGAAATGTATACCTAAACGTATACTTCATTGACAATGACCTTAAGTTTCATGTGATCCTCCCGCGTGGTTTTACCATCCTTACGTTTTTTCCAACAGTAACCATCTCGCCGATAGCGAACCTTTTTTCTCGAGTAAAGCAACATCGAGCCACTTCGAGGTCTAACTTTAACTTCCCGACTTTGCCACTCGGTGTGCCTTTGAAAGCTTATAAGGATGGCAGCAATTTCCTAAACATACAAATAACTTCCATTAGGAAATATTCGTCGATCACTTAGTAAATGTTTGTGCTTTCAAATTCACACGGATTAACGTTGAATCAAGCTAGAGTTGTAATATTGATCGCAATAGAAAGAATTCTCAAAGGATAAAAATGATTTGAAAGTTATATAAGAAAAACGCGAGTAGAATATTTGAGTATACTATTCGGTAGATTTTGATCAAGGTAGAGAGGACGTGATTTAGGAAGGTGGAAGTCGGCTTCCTAGTATTGATTGGGTGTAGCCCCAATGGAGTCCTTCATTTCATTCACGCCGTGACGCCGCGTATCGGAAGGTGCTTCGAACACGTATACGACGATCGAGTCGAGGACTGCTTCAAACGAAAAGAATAAACTCGATTCTAAGGCACCTTACAACTATGTATAGATGTATATAGATAGTACTCTGGCAAGCTCTCGCTGACATCTTCCTTTTCTCGAGGATTTGGCTTCCCTTCGCATCCTAGCGCTGATATATCGCTGATATATCGCTGATCTTCCTTCCAATCCCCTCGTCTTTATCTCGCTAAAGGTGATACGAATCTTACAAGAGATTCGTCACATAGAAAATATTCGCATACATTTGACGATCAACAACGCCTCTGGCAACTTTTTCCACAATAAGATCCGCCACGTCAACAAGTATGCGCATAGTAACAGTTACCCTTCTCTCTTTCTATTCGATTCAACTATTCACCGGTCCTACTCTTCATCTATCATTTTCTGTCATACATGTAATACCTACTCTTTCTTCTTCCTCTCTTTTATTTTTTTTTTTTTTTTTGTTATACTTGTAAAGAAAAGGTAAGAATACTACGAAATTCAGTGTGAAAACTTCTTTGACAATATAATCAGGTTGGAAATCATGACAAAAGTGTTTTAACAATAGGAATATTTTCGTATGAGCTATGATTGTCCCCCAGTGTTAGACACTAACGATAAATATAAAGCAGAAGAATAAAATAGTCAAAGAGTACACAGGTGTTCTTTAACATCAACGGTGAACGAGACTGGAATATCGAATACTTTTTATCTTTCCTCTGAATTCTCTAACTAGGAGGGCGTGTATCGAACCCTTTAAATCGGACCTCTCTAAGCAAATTGTTCCTCTACGTGCTAGTCAACTTTTCCAACCTGCCAAGTGTAAAATAGGTCAGGCAATGGTAGATAATTTGCTTTGGAATATAGAAACTGACAGTTTTCCTACATATGTCTGTATATGTGTATATACATATGTACATATATATATATATATATATATATGTATATGTATATATACAAGGTCGGTTTGCCCACACCACCAAAAATGCTTTCCAAAAATTTCCGACTGATTCCAATCATGATTGCGAATAGTGGAAAAAGAAGAGAGCAACCCATGTTTTTCACGGCCTGATTTACTTTACCGAGAAAAAAGGGAGAGAGAAATAGGCGAAGGATCAAATGGAATATCTCGAGAAATTGGATATTTTCAGGAATATTCTTAAATGTGATAGAATCTGATGGAATTTAGATTGTGTATGGTTGATTCGATAAAGAAACTTTTACAACATAGCTACAAAAAAAAAAAAAAGAAAACAAAGAATACAGTTATTTTTATTGAATCGCGAAACAATTTATTTATGTATACACGCATGTGCATAAACAAACTTCAAAAAGATTTTCTCGATAAGACTTTGATTAAGTTACGAGAAAGAAAGAAAAAAGCAGAGAAATTTATTGTGAAATAAGGTTTGTTTTTTTTTTTTTTTATTGAATTACGAAAGGATTGTTCGCATGTGCTATGAGATAACAAAGTTGATATTATTCACTTAGAAGAAATTTCATTAATATCGACTGATAATTCAGTGTCAGGGTAGAGATAGAAAATGAGTGACAGTAGTAACGAAGCTGTCTGCAGTCAGGCGATACAATGTCACGATATCTACAAATTTTAATTGTAAGTTCGAATAGTAATGATTGGATAGAATTAGTCAGACAATAAGAAGAAGCTTTACATACATATGCTAACGGACAGTAGCAAGAGGCCTGTTCAAACTATTAACTTCGAAATCGTATAGTGAAATCACACGATATTAAACGGTTTATCAGTAGTAACATCGTAAAATAACTCTGACAAGTCAAGAAGTACAGGGATACGGTTAAAATCGTTCGAACAGAAATAAAGTTGAAATTAGTCTTTGAAATCGTTAGGGAAACTAAACTTTTATTTTATACGATCTATCCCAAGTCTGAAAAGAAAAACTTTTCCTATGTATGTATGTGGGTGTGGGTGTGGGTGTATATATATGTTTATACACACGCGATTTAATCGAGAAATATTCAAGTTACCGAATGTACAATAAAATACATTATTATAATTATTATTATTGTTGTTCTTGTTATTATTTTTATTATTATTTTACTTTTATATAAGTTGATTATTCCTCGAGATTTGTTTGATCATACGAATCATATTTTATACGATCACGCGAGAAGGAGGAGAACATTTTTAAGTTGACATTCGTAATTTCTCCACGAAGAGTTTAATCTGCGTATGACGATTCAAACAAATAGTATAATAGTATTAATACAAAACTAGTAGTAATGGTAGTAGTGGTAATAAGGATTATAAACTTTCGAACGGCAGATGATAGGTGAAACTTAAATGAACGACGAAAAAGTACTAACTATAATTAAACGAGACGATAAGAAACGACGTTGAAAGAAGAAGAAGAAGAAGAAGAATCTACTATCTTTTAATACCGATAGTCATGAAAGTCACGAAAAACTTTCTCTCTCTCTCTTTTATCTAGTTTAATCGATATCGATGTGGCATGTAATTAAGAAGTCCTAAATTTCAATTAATTCTCCTCGAAACCTAAAACAAAAAAGAAAAAAAAAAGAGAACTTGTGCTGAAAATATTTCTATCTTTATCTTCATTTAATTTCTTGATGAAAAAAAATGTATCTTGAAAATTGTGCATCGATGCGTTAGAATTCGTTCGTTCGTTTGTTCGAGAAAAATAAAGAGAAAGGAAAAAGAAAGGAAAAAGAAAGGAAAAAAAAAAAAAAAGAGGATATTTCCTAGCTCGTCCGAGAAAATTTGCCAATTTCCTGGCCCCTTTGTAGAGCACTGAATAACAGTGAATGGAGAACGCCCACGCAATTTCTCCGACATCGTCCAATATCGATATTTCATTACCATCCTGTCGGCGTCCCAGTGCCACCATGAACGTCGCCAAAGACGACCACCAACCACCACCAACCCGTTCTGCTACAGGTAGAGGAAGGAAGTTACGATAAATCTCTTCTATTTATGTGCCTCCCGAACGTCTCGATAAGAATGTCCTTCACTAATTAACCTTGCTACGCAATTTATCACCGTACCCTGGATCCAAGCTTCTACGTACTCACACATACATTTCTCTATATATATAAACATGTACATGTATATACAATAAAATAATGGAGAAGGGTCGAGAATTTAGAAGAGACATCGTCTTTTACCAAGGAAAATCAAACGACTAGAAAGACGTCGACGAAATAATACTAAATGTCCTCCTAAGGGACACACGATTCTTCCTTTTCATTGCATACCCCACATACATACACACACACACACACTCATACAAACAGAAAACTGATATAAACGAGCACGAATTTATAATCGAATAGAACTTTGGAAGTGTCTACCTCTCTGTTCTCCCACCACTCGGAATATTCGATGAAATTTCAACATAGATAGATGATAGAGGTACCTGGTTGGGTATTCATATGTATGTATGAATGTGTACGTATACATATACATATGTATGCGAACGTGAAGGAACAAAACGATGTTAATTGCAGCCGACATTCGCATTGTGTACAGTAGGAAATTGCAAACATTCGAATGGCTACATTTCGACGTCGGTTTCGAGCGGAAATCAATATGCAAAGTCAAACATTGCCTCAAAAACGAATCCCCCGTACAAACGCTGGGGTTCCAGTTAAAACCGAATGCTCTCTATCTCTCTCTAAGTTATATTACGACGCTACCCATTATCTCCGCAGAACTGAAATCCAAGAGTGGCGTAATTAATTTGGATCATCGGTAATGCAGATGGTTTCTACATCCTCTACGCCATCACCAGCAGTAACTCGGCCTTCTTCTCCTTTCCTATCTTTATCTATCATTCCTTTCATTTCAACGAACGAATCGAGTTGAGGAGTTAGCGGTAAAGATCGTGAGATCTATTAATAAATCGTCTTAAGACACAATAGCGAAGGGCCGCTTAAAGTGGCAGCATTTGCATAAAATAAGCTTATTCTCTCTCTCGCTCTCTCTCTCTCTCTGTCGGCGCGAAAAATACGTTTCGGCACTGCAGACTGATAGTTAATAACCCGAGGTAAAAAAGAAAAAGTTGGTCGTTGGACGGAACGAGAGTACAAAACGAACAACGTGTTCGTAGCCTAAGGTATGTGCTAAAACTTATTACTATAATCATCCTTCGTGTATGCATCCAATGCTATGTGTGTGTGTGTGTGTTGGGGCCTCTATTTTAGTACAAATGGGATTTTATCAGGCGACGGTAATAAAAACCGAAGAACCACGTCAGAAGTCTTTTAGGAGAATATCACCTGAATGTTTTGTGTGCGAAAATTCAAGCCCCCTTTTCTGTCCCTCTTCTAACTCATCCTTACCTTCAATGTATCAAGGACGAGAATAAGCTAGGTGAAATTTTTTCAAGAGAAAAATTACTCTACTTATTTTCTTTCTTTCTATCTTTCTGTTCTACACTTGGCTTCTACATTCTTAAGTTAAAAGAGGCACAAAAAGAGGTACAAAACTTCACAGAAGATACTCTTGTCTCTCTCTCTATTTACAACACTCTAATATACAAGAACAAAATCTTGAACTATTTTATCAAAAGACTACTAGAGTTGTTCGACTTTCTATGTATATTTTTACATAAATACCATCCATGTGATTTATAGATGTATACACGTATACACGTTTATTTTGATAAACGTCTGGAAATATTATAATTAAAGATATTTCAAATATCTAACCTAGATTCAAAGATACAATTTAATTGGGGGAAAAAGAAAATATTTTTAATCTGAAAAGAGAAAAGATGTACAGACGAATAATAATCAAAATAATAATGAAGATTAATCGATGAGAGGGTGAAATTCACTTTGACCCGGAGCATTATTTTTTCACTGTTTGAGGCAAGAAAAGAAAATAAAAAGAAGAAGAAGAAATAATGAAAGAAAGAAAGAAGAGAGTTGGACAAAAAAAAGGAAAAGACAGGAAAACTCTATTGAGCTTAAAAAAGAAAAATAAGAGAAAGAGAGAAAGAAAGAAAAAACAGAAAAAAAAGGTCGGTTGAACGTGCATGAAAAAGAACGGTGGCACGGTGGCCGGGATTTCGGTTCGACCTCATTAACAACATTACACCAGGTTGCAGGGTTGCGTATATACCCCACATCCTCTCCTCTCTTTGCGTTTCGTCGTAAGAAAAAAAAAAGAGAAAAGAAAAGAAAAGTAAAAAAATAGAAAGAAGATACGAGAGAAAGAGAAAGAGAAAAGATGAGAGAGAAAATGTTCCGTTTTAAGAAGGCACAAGAGGCTACGTTTACCCAAAGACTTAAAGACCCGGGAGTGGTTGAAGTGAGAGAAGGTAAAGGAAGAAGAAGAAGAAGAAGAAGGAAGAGGAGAAAGGCGGACAGTGTATGTAAGTAGAGATAGGTAGATGCTCGTCAGACACCTGAAACTCATCGAGGGTGATCGTCAACGAGTCTCCTCTTTCCGAGCACTTTAATTTCTAGTACCTTTCCGAGTAAGAGAGATAGAGATAAAGATAGAAATAAAAAGAGAGAGAGATAGAGAATTGTTCCAAGGGCGAGCAACAACCAACATGTAGGTTGACTCACATCGAGTTTACAAGTAGTATATAACAACGATAGTCGCAATTCGGTTCGTCAGAAAGAGAAAAGAAGAGAGTAGCTGAAAGAGTGAAAAGCTCGAAAGCTCGAAAGCTCGACTGGCAGGCTGGCTCTCTCGTTCTCTCGGTCTGCCTCCTACTATTGATCGGAGGCCGACCGGGGTCAGAGTAGCAGTGGACTACATCGGTATACCTCTCTCTCTCTCTCTCTCTCTCTCTCTATGTGTACGAAGCTTTACGTTCTCTTCCTACCTCATCCTCGTCGTCATCGTTGTCGTCGTCGTGGTCGTGGTCGTCGTCGTGGTCGTCGTCGTGGTCGTCGTCGTATTTTGGATATGTACAACACCCTTGCAACCAACACGCACACACACACCAATACCGACACTAGTTATCCCTCTCTCTGTGACCACTAGCAACCACTATCAACGCTCTCGACACCGACAACATCGGCACCGGCACCACACTAGGTGCATATGTATATCTGCTATCAACTTCACCGACCCAACACAACATCGTTCTAACTAGGAACAGTGCTAGAACTCAACCGAACCTAACTAACGACCCTGCTGCTACCGCTGCTGTTTTAAACGACGATGAGAATTATATTTGTCTATTTGTTCAGGAGATATGTTTGATATATATACGAACGAATATTACACGTGTGTATGTATATTTTGTAGGCTATCATGCTAAAAAGACCAGTGATGACTGTGAAAATAAAAAAAGGAATACAAATATAAAAAAGATCCATTGGAATTCCAATAATTCCATACCTCGAATCCCCCTCCTACTCCTACTTCTACTCTTTCGTTTCGTTTTTACTCTTCGTCAATAATAATAATAATAACAATAAAAAGAAATAGCGGAAGAGACGAAAATAAACTTAAACCGAGATCTTGTAGATAAAGTTGTTTTTTTTTTTCACTAGATATACGAGATTGAAAATGATTAAAGTCGTCGTAACACGTCCTGTTGGAGACTATGTTTATCAAAGTGGAATCTAATCTACGTCGTCGGCATCGTTCTACGTATACTTCCTTGTCGTAGAACATCATAAATCATATATGGTTGGTACTCACCTCGTTGGTATTCCATCGGTGTCTTTGCGTGGGAAAATGCTCGGCCCGCGGCAAAGTCTCTAAATTCTCCGGAAGCTTTATGGGATCCCCATCTGGACAAGAATATTTCCAAATTAATTTTTTCTTATGAAACATTGCCGCGATTTTTTTCTTTTTTCTTTTTTTTTTTTTATCTTATTACATAATTCTCCGTCTCGTAAATCGATTTAAGTAAATTAGAAAAAAAAAAAGTCCGTGTGCAGTCAACGACGACCCGTATTGTGCCGGCATATCAAATTAAATCATCTACGATACGATACGGACGAACGCGCGAGCGAGTTTCTCTTATTTTCTAGAAAATTAGAAAATTAAAATAAAATCATTGAGATTGAATATTTGCGTTCTAATATAATTGTATAATATTTTGTAAGATCGTCAGATAACATTTCGACGTGTAAAAGATACGTACACTCAATCATACAACTGGTTACAATCAAGTATACAATGTTCATTTCATTTTGTATTGTTCGTCCACCAGCATGAACAATCGATCGTTCCTGACAATTTCGTTGGATGGAATAAAATGTAACGACCTGACATTATTTATCAAAAGAATTCAACTTTTTCCACACAGTGTGCTTGCAAAATAGTCAAACATTCTGAGTAACATTTCATATACTTTTCGTAGTCTTTCGATAAACGCATTGTTACTCTTGAGAAGCTTTAATGCACACTCTCGATAAATATATAATACTTACTATACCTAAGTATAATATAATATACATATACACTAGTGGAATGTATGTACCATGAAATTTCTTCAAATATTTTCAAAAATAAGAACGAACGAGAATTCTTTCTAAAAAATGAGAATTTCGTCGTAATCGGTTGCCACGATGGTTGCCCGGTTTGCCTAATATTTAGGACAAACGCATGTTCTACGTGTGTATAATGAGAATGGCGAAATGTATAAGTACCTACCGCACACGCTACGTAAATGAGGCCGTCGGTCTAATTAAAATCAATAGAAATTCATTAGATTTAAAATTGTTTTTGAAAAAAAAAATCTTTAAACTCATAATCAGAGTATATCTTTTTGTTCGACTTATGACAAGTAATGGGGGCAACAAAAGTCAAATGTACATTCTCATTTAATCAAGCAGCCTCATGTAAAATGATAGAAACGTAAGAAGAAACAAAACGTGCAGCACGCTTCAACGTTGAGTCCACAATCTGGATTTTCTGGCCGTCGAAAGCAAAACTTCTTGTGTGCAATTTGGCTCGGTTTCTACATTCTCTAACGAAAACTTTAGGTAGTTTAAACCATCGCCGTTTGTAGTTTATGTCGATTCATCTCACTCAAACGGAAATATTACGTATACACCGAGAACTAAGTAATTCTTATCGCACGGAAAAAGCTCGACGGGCGATTGATGAGAGAAAGAGAAAGAGAGAGAGAGAGAGAGAGAGAAAGAGAGAAAAAAAGAAAGGGAAAAAGAAAAAACTGTAATAGTAGGATAAAAATACTTCGACCCTCGTCGGTGCATATTCATTTAACTTTCGTCGACGTTAAATAAAGCGATGCGGAAAGAAAAATTGAAAAACTATGTCAAGCGTTTTGAAAAATTTAAAAGCTTTGCTAGAAAATCTTTAGATACCAGCATGTCGAAATTAAAAGGTCTATCTAAATATCCAACTAAATCGACTATTAAAATCTATTTAACCGTATAAACAGACATAATAAGTGGTCGATGCAAACTTTGGCTCTAACTTTGTTTACAACATTTCAATCAACAAATAAATAAAAAATAAGATCACTGATGGCGGTATTTCGTTGACAATGCAAAGAAATTTGAAAGTAAGAAGAAAGAAAGCGAAAATTCCCACGACGAGTGACGCTCTATGCTGAAAGGAGAGAGAAGAAGAAGAAGAAGAAGAAGAAGAAGAAGAAGAAGAAAATAAGAAAATATAAAAAAGTAAAATAAAGAAGAAAGAAGAAAGAAGAAGAGAGGCTGGGAGACTCACTCGGGGCAAGAGACGTCGGGTGATTCGCGTGGTAGACAACGCGTTGTGCGTTCGTATGATTGTAGTTCGCCATCTCCGTAACGCTCGCTCGAGCGACCTTCGCGTTGATCTTACCGATCGTGGCCGATCGTCATCGTCCTCGACCATACGAGGTTGTAGTGGTGGTAGTAGCTGTACGCGCTCGTTGAGCTCTAGCCGGCATGATGACGTTTGTCGTCGTCGTCGCCGTCGTCGTCGCCGTCGCCGTCGTCGTTGTCGTCGTCGTTGTCGTCGTCGTCGTGGTAAAACTCGTCGTAGCTTTCACCGTAGTTGAGCTACCACCAGTCGAAAGAGCAGCCAAGAGTCCTTCTCGCTTGGACGACTGCGCCCTCCTCGTGCTAGCACCAGCTAACCGATGGAGATCCTTGCTCAGGATCGTCGTCGTAGTAGTAGCGATACTCGCTTGAAAGTCGTTACCGGCGCTGCTGCCGTTTCCACTGCTGCTGCTGCTGATTTTATTACTAATATTGCTATTGCTATTGCTCTTGGTGTTGACGTTGCTATTTCTGATGCTCTGACGATGAAGACGATGATTCTCTTTTCGTCAAGATACTTTAATGCCAGGATCCAGGATGAAGATACGATCGGCCTGCCGATGTCCTTTGCGCGCTAACGTTTGTGCTCGCGTTGGATGGTTCCCTTTGGAACGGCAGGACATATCCCCTGGAGGATTGTGCACACGAGCCAGCTCGTTTCCGACCTTTTACTCTTTCTTTTTTTATTTCTAGCTCACGCACACACTCGCTCAAGATAATACTGCTTTATTTTCCCTTTTCTCTTCACGTAGTCGTCCAACACGTTCCTCTTTTTTGGCTCGTTTCGACACTTCCTATGCCGAGTACGGTTCTTGTAGCGAGCGCACGTGGAGGCACGAGCGTGCTATGGAAACGGTATCGCGCATAGGATCGATCCTCCACCTCCTCCTCCCTACTTTCCTTCCTCCTTCCTCCTGCTGCTTTTTCTCTCACTCTATAGATATATAGATATATCTCCCTTTCTCTATCGACTGTCTATAGCAATTCGATGAGAGATACTTTTCGCTGATACGCCTCCTCTCTTCCTCTTCCTCTTCTTAAAATTCTTCGAACTAGTATAAAAAAGTGGAGCCCAGCTCTTGGAGGGTAGGTCACCCTTTCTAGCAAAATCTTACCCAGTCCCCTTTCCTTGTTCCTCCCTCTTAGGAGGAGCAACTTACTCTCCTCCTCTCTACCAGCTTCTTCTTCTTCTTCTTCTTCTTCTTCTTTTATCGTTATTGTCCCTTTTCTAATTTGCTCACTCTCCTTTACTCTCTCTTTCTCTCTCTCTCTCTTTTTGTTGTGCGCTCCAGAAAACTCTGTTCTTCTTATATCCTAAGTTACAACACTGAACCTGTCCCCAACCGAAGGGACAAAATAATGTAAGGATCACACAGTTACAGAGAGAACTCAAAACGGAGATTCAGAGTCGACGCGTTTTCTTTTACTTTACTTACTTTCTTCCTTTCTTCCTTCGTTGTTTAAACTTTTCCTTCGTTATCGTGGCACGTGCTACCTAGCCTTCTCCAATGTTTCCTTCCTTCCTTCCTCCCTTCCTTYGCTATGCTTCCTTCGTCTTTTGATAATAATCAGGAAGCTGATATCTCTCTCTTTCTCTCTCTCTCGTTGTACCACCTCCCTTTCAGTCACTCTCTCCCTCTCTCTCTTTCTCCCCCGTTCACAGGCCGATAGGACACGAGTGCCTCTTCGACGGCGATCGCGTCAGCAACGTTAAAACCCCTTCCTTCCTTCCTTCCTTCCTTGCTTCCTTCCTGCCTTCCTGCCTGCCTGCCTTCCTGCCTGCCTGCCTTCTTTCCTTCCTTCCTTCGGCAGCCGTGCGTGTTCCTTCGCTTAATCCTTTCTCGTATTTGAAAATACACGAGACTTTTTACAGAAGAAGATAGTAGAAGTAGTAGTAGGCTTTTTAAAAAGTACGACGACGTCACGTAATTTTGCTTTTTTTTTTTTTAATATATTCCGCGTGTATTTTTAATATAGTTTCGTGTTGCTGTTGTTGTTCTTGTTGCCTTTTTAAAAGTGTTATTTACAAATATGTATTTGTTTTGTTTATGTGTTTTAATAAAATAGTTCAAATTAGTCTTTGGCCCCGCGTGTCTGCTCCCGAGCGGCGGGAGCCGCAGAGTGAGCCAACCCGCGACTCCCGAGCTTTCCGCTCCTCGTCCTCGTGCCCCCTCCCCTCTTTTCCTACTTCCTTCGGCACCAAACTACCCCTATCCACTGAACTACCCTCTCTTTCTGAGCGATTCGCGTTGGCCCCCCACTTCTTTATCAGTCGGTCTGTCGGTCGGTCGGTTCGTCAGTGCTCTCAGCAGCTATCCCCACCCAAACGAGCAGAGCGCAGTAGTAACAGCGAGCAGTTCGGTCGGTTGGTCGGTCAGACTCCCGAGGCTCGGCTACGGGCCCTGGCCAACGAGCTACCCCCACCTGCCAACCCAGCTAACCCACCCTCTTTCTTTCTCTCTCTCTCTCTCTCTCTCTCTCTCTCTCGCAACGTTATCCTGCTGCACACTCTGCAAAAGCACGAGCAGCAAAGTACCACCAAGAGTAGCAGAAGCAGCAGCAGCACCAGCACAGTACAGCACGACAGAGCACCACCAGCACTCACCAAAGTAGAAACGTTCCTAACGATATGCCTGCTCTCACTCTCTCGGTTGGAAAACTCGCTCGAGTTGTAAATTAAGGATTACCGAGAATGCAAATTATCCCGGCAAGTTAGAACCTACGAGAACCCTTTCTCACACAAACACATACACACACACACACACATATTGGGATCATCCCCTTCCTTCCCTTGTTCCTTCCTTCCTTTTTCGTTCGTTCGTTCGTTCGTGCTCTTAGAAATAAAACGTCGCGCCGAACGTTACCAACCCCAACAACCCCGTTCAAAAACGATTATCGCTTGCGCTACAGCGCGAACCTTAATACTTACTACTTTTCGAGACTGTACAACTTTGATAAACCTTATATACCTCATACCTACAGTTTCTTCTATAATACTACGTGAAAATAATGTT